TATAAAACTGAAATTTCTCTTGTTTATATCATAGTCTAGGAAGTAGATCAAAAGCTCACATTTGGACCATTAGTAGTAGAGGTTGAGTACTATCCATAGCCAAGAGCATGTGCAAAGGTAACTGTCCCCCATGTGCGAACATATGTGCACAATAAGAAGGGATTTGCTTCTCAAGCTTATACTTTCAGACTGGCCTGTTTACTATGAATTTTAAACCGTTGGCTGACATTCTACTGGCAATTAGAGAGAACTTCACATTCTCAATGAACGACTTCTTTCTCTGTAGATCTTCTTAGTTTTATCGAGGATAATGGTATTAGTTACGTAAGATATAGACATTAAAACTATAGCAAACATAGAAGTAAAAGAGCAGTGCCCTCTAGTATTTGACAAATAAATGACGATAAGAGAAGAGAAAAGGAAATGAAATATATTGGATAGGATGTGTTTGTATATCTTCAGAAAGCCCTGACACTGCTCTACTTGATCTAATGAAGATCGAGCTCTGTAGAAATGAGAAAAGAAGTTGGTAAACGAAACAGAATGTCGTCGTCGACGACAGTTCTTGGTGTAATCCTTTCGACTAATTGTAATACATACACTGTAATAAGTGTTTCAGACCTGATTCTACGCTACCACACAAGCTTGAAGATTCAGTCCTATCCTCCCCTGTAGAAAATATTTTAAATTCAAAATAAATTCAACATAAATAATAATGCTCGAGTTCATATGAAATATTTTTTAAAACATTTGACTCTAAATATTGTCGACAAAATAATGTCGACGATTTGCACATAATAAGAGACACGAACTAATTTTACTCAATATTTTCGATTTCATTTACTGTGATCAGCCAATGCTTTGTCTATCAAAATATTTACAGATGTATTCGATGATTTACGAGCCTGATATTCCAGATAATTTATTGTTGCTGCTTTGTGTGACTGACTGTTCTCGTGTTTATCAAAACTTCTGTTCTTCTCCAATGCCCGTTTCCAATTTGAAAAATCATCCGATTGAAATCTGGAAGATGATGATGAGAAGTGACGACGGTAGTGGCAGAAGCAGGCATCCCTCTCAATACAATATTCAAGCCAAGGTCGATTTTCAAACCATTTTCATTGAACACTTCTGTTTTCTTCATCAGTTTTAAAAATGCTTGCAGATGGTTGTGTTGCAAGTGTATCTCCAGTACGACTGATATCAGATGGTGCAGATTTCGAAGAAAATTTAGGTTGTGAATTTTCCAACAAAGAATTAGACGAAGAAGAAAGAGTAGCAGACGAGTCCGAAGGTCATCATGATTCGAGGCAGTGGTGAAGAAGATGACGATGAAAGGATATCGGTGTGTGTTTTCTCTTGCGTCGGAACTTCTTCACGTGCTTTTTGTTGAAAAAACTATCGAGGACTGATTTACGTTTGGTAGGATCTTTATCACTCATACTGTTCATATATTCATTTACAGTTCTAAATCAGCGTCTCCGAGCTGAGCCGAAGTAAATTGAATTAAGTTAAATTAATTTAAATTTAGCAGCAAAAAAAAAGAAAACGTCTACCATCATCATCATGAAAACATAACAACAAATAAATAAATAAATATCAAAAACAACAAGTCATTATCCATGGACGATATATATGATGACAATGAGAAGAAGGGGCGGATGTTGAACATTATCCGATGGGTGGAAGAAGCGCGTGGTGGTAGCTTACTGGTTTTGGTCGAAAAAACGACCAGTGTTGTCAGCTGGACAAGAAGAGTACTGTATTTAGCAACACTCTTCGCACAGAAGTCCAGACTGTTCACCACTATTCGGATGTTCGGCCATCAGTCGGTGATGTTTGCAGAAACAGACGCCGTTCCGGACTCGTATATTGAATCGTTCACCCATGCTTATTTTTTTGATTTTTCTTTATTATTTAATAATTAACATTTTGTTTCGTTAGGTTCTGTCAGGTCCCGAGACCTAAAATGGACAGAGATACTGCAGCGTCCGTGTAATATTGCGTGATTATATGAAATACATTTCCTGCAAAGAAAATGTATTTCATATAGTCACTATCTCATCATGCCATCCTGTGACACCACTGTATAGATTTCATCATGTTTTTCTGTTACGTTCTTTCTTTCTTTCCTACTTTCTCGCCTATATACACACAGGCATATACTGTACTAGACAGAGTGCTTTTTTCTTTCTTAATAAACCAATTGTATATACAAATGAAGATTTGAACAAGTTAGGTGAAACCTAACAAATGGTGCACTACCCGGCTTACTGTAAATCCAACGTCACAGTTAGTACAAACAAATTCAGAGAATCCAAAGCACTAGCTGGTGTGATTAGCAATGCAGCAGCACCATAGCAATGAAAAAGAATTACGGTGCTGATTCAATGCCTGATTTTAACCAGAGATGGGCGAGTACGACTATATACTCGTACTCAAGTATATTCGAGTAGAAAATCTTCAGTACTCGTACTCGGAAGTTTTCTTTTCGAGTACTTAAAAATATATTCGAGTATTTTCGAGTACTTGAAATTTTTTCACTAGTATGCTGTACAAAGAATTTGTGGCCTTGCGAATTGTGTATCTTCTTCAGACATTAAAAATTTAAGACAAATGACTTAACATACAATAACCTATAATTAAAATAAGAACAAATCAGGCTATTTTCTTCTTCTTTTCTTTCTTAGTCATTCTT